GATTTGCAAACATTATTTTCTCCACCTCACACTTCAGCCCTTTCCCAACAGTCCCAGACCAAAACCCCATCAAGACAGACAATAATGTCAGCTCCCATTCAGCAACATGACCACAAATTAGTCACCTGTTCACAGGTTTGGTGATGCCCTGCTCCTTGGCTCCCAGGCCCCCGCCTTCCTTCCAGCCCAGCTTGAGCAGCATCTGGTAGCCCATGTTCTCACAGGTCAGCTTGAACTCTTTGTACTCAGAGTAGTCTGGTTCTCTGCCCTCCTTCAGAGCCTGTGACAAAACAAAAATGAGGATTATGAAGTTAAAAGAAAGTTAAGACAACGGTGCTTGCAAGTACATTTTTTTTTTTTAACATATTGTAAACGATCTTTCTTCCACTATGGCTGTTTCAGTTTCAGAAAAGATCGCTGCTAACTTTGTAGTGTACGAAGAATCAACATAATATGTTTCATAACACTGTAGAATCAGGCGCACGTCAATTTTGGGGCAAATGGAGTTACTGGTATTATCTTTAAGCCTGCATTTGCCTTTCTTTTGTTGAAAAAATACCCACCTACCTTGAGTAGTAGTCAAGATATTTGCCATTAAAGGAGGATTAGGCAGCCTTGTGTCAGAGGTAAAATTAGTCAGAAAATGGCCGCCAAGGTTTGGCGACTTCCAAAGCTTGGGTGTAATGGAAACCGCAAATTTACATTTTTGTACCTTTGATAAAAAATTGCCCAACGAACTGTTGAAGCGGTCTTACCTACATCATTGCAGTCAGATACGAAGTTTAAAAGTCAGCATGATAACAGTGATAATAGTCACATTGCGCCTGGAACAGATTACTATAATAAAAAAACAGTTAAAAAATAGAAGACTCGACGAGAGTGTCTGCTAACAACCCATGGGTCAAACAGCTGACAGACCAGTCTCAGAATACACGTTCTCAGGTCACAGTGACATATTGTGAGAAAAATGACCGAAGAAAAATGTGATAAAGTAAAAAGTCCATGATATAAAAGAAAGCGGTACAGATTGCCAGGGATATTCAAGGAATGGGGAGGCAGAAACTCCTGAAACTAATCAATCCAGTCCAACCCTATCCGTACGCCCTGGGGTCATTTTGTACCCCCGGGGTTGTATTCTTCACATTTTAGAATACTTCTAGTACGAATATCTCTTTGAAACTTTCAGTATTTCTCCAAAAAAAACAAAATTATGCAGACTGCTATGCAAAGCGTACGGATCAAATTAACGAGTAAACAAATTCCTCTTTGGAAGGTGGTGACACAGAGTTCCCCATGTCGCATCGATACGATAGTAAAACACGACGTACGGATAGGGTTAAAAAAGGCAATAGGGGAGCAGAGATGGCAGCAATGGTATAGAGAATGAGTCATGCAACCCGTAAAGAGGGTGATAAGTTGTCACCCATAGGAAAAGTACAGAATTTATTTTCCGATGATGGGTATTTGTTATTGGCAATGGAGACAAATTAAATTATATTACCTTGAAAGTTTCCAAGAACTTCTCCAGCTCTGCCGGAGGTAAGAAATCTCCAATGAAATGTTTCCCACGAGATCCTGACGTCAACTTCTCTGCCCATTCTGCAAATTAAAAAATGAGAACATGGATTTGAGCTAAATAATGTTTTAAAATATCCATGAGATTAAAAAGAAGAGAAATTAAATATTCAGAATGCTTATCACAGGTCAGAATATGGACTTGCATTAAACGTTTTAAATATCTATTTAATTGAAAAGAAAAGAAATATTCAGAATGCTTCATAAAGGACAGACCTATGGGTCCATAGCCTTAATATCTGATAATCAATTTTAATAGGACACTTTCCAGTACTCACTTCTTTCATGTTTCAGTTGTACCAGGAACGATACTGTGTTCTGCTGAGAGCATGGTACTTTCAACTAAAGATCAAAATCTGCTCAGATCCATTTATGTTTGATTAAAACCTCAAAGAGACTAATCGTGAGTGGTGGGTGGGTGTTCTGGTGTGGTTTGTGGTTTGCTTCTTCTTTCCTATGAAAATCTATCGTCCTTATCTCCCCTTCTTCTTTTTTGTTTGTTACTCTCTAGTAACACCTCTAATCTTCTGGCGCTCATATGACCTTATGTGTTGCAAGCGCCTTAAAACCTCTACTAAAACTAAAAAGAGACTAGTCAAAACTAGCAATATATAGCTGAGAAAACACCTACAAAATACTTTTCAAAAGATATTTGGCGAATAGACATTTCATGTCTTTTACTTCTGAGCATGGCTGTTTCTCCCTTGAAAAACGTTTACTATTTCACATAAAGAATTTAATCTGCACCGCAGTGAACATTTTTCACATGAAGCTACAGAGAGCAAAAAGCACACTTCAGTGATTGGCCCAAATATAGATGACATATTTCCACCATCTTCAGTCCAACGTGCCATGACGGCCACCTCTATAAGACGGCCACCTGTATAAACGGCCACTTTCCATTTCCCCCCTTGCATTTTTTCTATATAATTTAACTGTGTAAAACGGGCACCTGTCCAACGCGGCCGCGGCCACCATATTTCAACACACAACCCCTATTACACTAAACAATAACACCAGTCTTAGACAGCCACCTTTGTGACTCCATTACGTTTTGTCATAAATTGTGCGCTGGCCCCTGGCGTTGTGGGCGAGCCGTCATAACCCAATCACTTTTCGTTGTTGTTAGGTAGTCCCTCCAACCGATCATGTTGCGTAGGCCCCTCCCACTGTTGACCAATAGGTACCAATTTTCAGTTGCTGGTGAGGTAAGCATGTGATCCCTCATAACCCATAAGCCCCGCCCAGAACTCATACACAAATCGTATGTGAGATGAGCGGTCACTGTTTACCCAGTCTGTAACAAAGTAACAAAGGACGTCAACATGAGCTTGCGACAGAAGCGTCACTCGTTCTCCAAGTGGTGGCGACCCATGTGTTTGTTTAAACATGGCACTCGGTCTTCCTCGTCTGATACATTTCGTTTTATTGTCACTCTCGCAAAATCAGCAACAAAATAAAAATAACAAACAAAATACAAACCAACAACAACAAAAACAAGAAAATTGCGATTGGGAATGGTTTGTTTTCTTCATCTTGATCAGTCCTGCCTAAGACGGCCACCTGTCCTATACGGCCACTTTTCTCCTCGACAATGGGTGGCCGTCTTACACAGGTTTGACTGTATTTTTATCATCTTCTGGGGTTTCCCTCGCCAGTTAACTTGATCTATCACTATAACCCTTTATCATTATTCTTTCATTATCATAATAATGATCTTTATTGCCATTTTGTATAACAAATAACCAATTGGAATACATTTAGGTATTGCTAGGCCATTCCAGACACTCTCAATACATTAGAAATATATTCTCAAGAAACATGCACAGACGAACATACATCCACACACACACAAACACATGAACATGAACAAAGGAACGGGAAGATTCACATATACATGCACACATGGGCACGCTGGTAGACACACACACGCACAAACACACACACGTACACACACACGGCAAAGATAGGTATACTTAGATAAACACCCTTTCCAGTTTATATTAATTCTTATAATTACACTTGTCACCTTCACTTTGATACAAGTTATTTGAAACAAAAATGCAGTCTTCATTAAAATTATCATATTCCTTAGTTTTCTAGTCAACTTACGATGGGAAAACTCCGGAAGCCCACAAAAATAGATGGTGAAAATACGTCATCTATATTTGGGCCAAACACAGAGGTGTGCTAGGTGCTCTTTGTAGCTTCATGTAAATTTTTCTTTCTGAGTGGCTTTCCAGCGAAAAATGTCTCATTTTTAACATATCATTTTGAGAGAGCACAAGAAATAATTAAATTACAAGAAACCAGGCAATGCGGAGCACTGACCTTTAGTGGCAGTCATTTCCTTAGCTCTCTGCTTGTGCTCCCATGTGCCCCCTTCCGTGTCCTCGTCTGAGTCATACTCGTACTTCCTCTTGACCTTGATGCCTTCAATCTCTGCCATGATAGCCTGCTCCTGGATCTTCTTCTGAGCCACCACTAGCTCGTACATGAAGTTGAGCTGAAAGCAAAAAAAAATACAGACATGAAACGTTCAACCCACTAACACTACAGGAAAAGCTGTGCCTACCAGCTAAAGAACTCAGCAAGACAGCCCAGTGTTCGATAGATACTGGTCTTTAAGTGTGATACAATCAAAAAGAAAAAGTAAACACAACACTAAAGATAATCACAAACTATAAATATGCTCCAGTTTTGTCCTTGTGTGAGTTTAAAGCCCTCCCTACTTAACATGAACAAGTCATGTCGCAATGAGGTACTGCA